GCATATGCTTGAAAATTGGCACTTGGCCAAATGTGTTTTAATGGTACTTTTGAAATTTGCCCTGTTTATTCTCTTATTTGCGCCAGAATATTCCATACTGCATCATTATATTTTACCATTCCATTTTTGTTACAGTGCTTTTAGTACATGAATTTGTCTCTTTTCTTTCTAATAATTGTTTTCACCACAGATTTCATTCCATTTTGTTTTATATAGTGAGTAAGGTTAAATTTGGTGTTCCGTTACATTCAGGGTTAAAGTTTCGGGTTAAAATAATATCTAGTATTATACTTTGACAACACACCAGGGGTCAGTAGCATTTTAGGAACTCAATTGCAGTGGATCAACACTCCCTTACAATCACCACTAGGTGGAGATAGGGCCCTGATAGGTCTGTGGTGGCACGGTGGCCTTTTAATAGAAACATAAAGAATGCAAAGCTATCCAAGTGGGATTAGACTGGAGATGATGTCAGATGCTCCGAAGGTCAAGGCAGTCAGTAGAAAAGCAGAGGCAGGAGAGCAAGCCAAAAAAACAGGAAATAAATCACTGGAGGGTAGGACAAAATGCCATGAGTCTAGAACAAGTGAGAACACTTAATCACTGTTAGGGGGCACACTGGGTTTAAATAGGAGAGTCAAGACACCAAAACACTACAATGTACACAGAGCATTGTGGGGTAGCATCACTATACCTGCTCCACCTCCTAATCACACCCACAACTCTTCCTATAACTCCAAGACATACCAGCATCTAGTCTGCATGGCAGCCACCATCTTGCTGAGACAAGCATGGACTGGGAGGGCAGCAAGCAGGAACAAGGGAGAACCGAGAGCCACAGCCACCGTGGATTCACCTTCAGGATGTTGCTGGTGCCCTGGGAGTGGTGAATACCGCTGGGCATTGTGACATAAAATATATAGGGTTAAAGTGTAAATAAGATTTGGAGTTAGACTATATTAAATATTAAAGCAAATCTTTAGGTACTGTAACTGCTTCATCTCATAGAAGTGGCTATGGTCGCCATCCTTCTATTCAGAGTAAAAAAAACATTTTAATGTTCTAATGCTAAACAAGATTCTCCTGCAGCCTATAGAGTTATGGTGTTTGTAGGTTCTTTTAAAGAAGATGGAGTGTTAAGGAGACAGTAAAAGGAAAAGGAGCTTTATATTTTAATTTTGAGATACAGAAAGGGGGAGAAACCACAAATAGAAAGGTGAGTGAAAATGGGTTTAATGTTTTATGACGTACACACATAAAGGTTGCCAAATGCGTGAGTCATCTGTGTTCATATCCTGGTATCATTTCATCCGTGTTATTCTTTGTATCGAGTTAATTTCTGTTGTATCTTTCTATGCTCGTTCCTTTCAGAACTCTTACTTGCTCTTTATAAAATAAAAAGGGGTGGTTTTTTTGTGCACATAAAAAGAGAAAATTGCCAATTTAATTAAATTTTGTATCTAGAAGCCATTAACATTTTTTTTTCATTTTGTTTTATAAAGGTAAAACAGCACCTTTGAGAATGTCAAATAAACTATGTCAAATTAATGTTCAAATTAAAACCTTGATTGAGGCTTGAACAAAAAAGAAGAATTAAATCATTTGCGAGAGAGTAAATGTTAGATGCAGCCAAAGCAGAGAAAATTAAATTTTGCTATATGAGATGTTATACCAGCCAAAGTACTTTTCAATTACGGCACAAATGAAATACCTTAATACGAAAATGTGCAGGCACAAAGTAAAATATCGCAAATAGTGGAGATGAAAAGATTTCAGTAAATGAAAGTATATTTTTAGGTTGTTTTTTTTTCTGCATTACCGACAGCATTAATAAATTCTATGTATTTAACAGCAATTCCTTTGTAGTCGAACATCCACCACCATTATTCTGAAATAGTTTTGGATGCCGTGAGAGATTTCTTATGTTTTGTACAGTTCTTCTGTCCTGGCTTTGAATTAGACTATTTTAGAATGCAGGTATGCAGAGAGTATTTTGTCAGAGCATAGTTTAAACCGACTCCACTTAAATTAACTCAGCAATCCAAAACTAAAATAGGCACAGTAGGGTTTAAGTGTTTTAGTTGTAAGGCCAAGTAACTTGCTGATTCACTTCTAATTGTCCAATTTCAAACCAAAAAGGAAATTGTATTTTCCACTAAAAAGCATCAAGGTAGCAACAGCAATAATGTCCATTTCCATGAGTAACTGAAGCTCTTGTGCTGGAATTAGTATTTTAGTTTATCTAATGACAGTCGTAAGAACTACCAGACAAGATGTTCAATGTCTGGTTGGACCCCATGAAATACTTTTAAGATTGACTATTTTGGTCCTAAAATCATGGGGTTGTTTTTCTTTACAGATAAATCAATGTGTGCTGTGGACTCTATACTGTTTATATATATATATATATATATATATATATTGCCTACCAGGTAGCATCAATTAAATACTCATTAAATCATCGCTACCTTGTGCAATGCTTTTTACGCCAGTGCATGGCTTAGGAACTGGATGAACCAATCCCTAGCCATGGGCAGCTGTATCACAATTTCTTTATTTTTTAAATTAGGACAATATAATGATGATTGATAATAGTTAGTTTGATGCTGTCAGAGAGTTTCTCAACACTGAACCCAAACCAGCACAGTACTTAGGGGTCTTGAAAAGGTATACCAGCTGCCAAGAGCTGGGTTGGTCCACTTAGATCCTAGTATAAAAATGTGTGTTTATAACAGAAGACCACTTTAGTGGCAGGACTCGCCCGATCTTCACGGAACTCCGGTCTTCTCCTGCGGGCTGGAGATTTAAAGGACTACGAGCAGCACTCACATTGAGCACTGTTCATAGCTTATCTGTCAATCTGAGGCCACTAATCGTTAACCTGGCTGACATAGGGACCCTCAGGTAAATAATGATACCTGGGGCTCCTTGGTACCAGCAGTATTTTTGTTTTCTGTTGATACTTTGATTGCATGACGGTTAATGTCAGCAAGGGGCTTTGTGTGGTCCTGAGGTGGGTAAAGGAAAGATGTGCAAGATGTTTAAATGCATCATGATATATCGGAGGTGCTGAGTTTATCCCCTACATGGAATACCCTAGCCACCAAATGTTGTAACTGATTGCAGCTCTCAATTTTTCTCTGAGAAAGCTCAACGAAAGCAATTTTCAGGCCTTAAATGTGCTCAGTATGTTTTGAACTATGACCACTATATTTAAAAGTAATTGCATCTATAAAGCTATGTAATCACGGAAATTGCACGAATCAGATGTATAAATCCACAGGGATGTGCTTTCTTTATTTCAGAAGGCATTCATATCTGCTGAAGCGTAAGTTTCCCAAAAGAACAGTGGATGTCTGGCAATATTTCAAAATCATTTACCTAAACTGCTACAATTCCCTCAAGCAAAGCAGCGGCTTTTTAAAAATGAGTCAAACGAGTGAAAAGTTAATTTAAGATGAGGTGGGAAGAAATAAAGGTCTCAACTTGTAATGATATAATAGAAAAGGCACTAATGAATTTTATGCCTTTTTTTTATCACAAAAACCACGTTGTGATTGCTTTAAAGGGAAAAAAAGACCACAAAGTGTTACAGCTGTGGCCATCTCCATCCACTGAATGATATTCACTAACGTTTGTCTCCCAGCCAATGAGCTGGTTCTATACAGCAGGACTTAGTACAAGAGAGCTAACAGAAGCTCTATGCAGGAGTTTCAAAATCTCATTGGAGGAGGTGACCGGCGCATAACAGACAGCAGGTAATTTTTCAAACCATTAACAATTTATTTTACTACTCAGCCTGGGGTTCACCAGAGCACTCCTGGCATCATAAGCACTACAGCATGCTGTAGTGGTTATGGTTCTTGGAGTGTTCCTTTAAGTGTATGCAATAAAACTGGACTTTGTAGCAAAAAAAATAAATTAATACTTCAACCAAAAAGCTACAGTTCCAATCCTTTTTATGTTCCATTAAAAAGCCTGTGGGGGAAAAAAATGTCAAAGCACAAGACTAGGGACAAGGTCTGACACGTTTTGTGCTAAAGAATCACTTTCTCACAAAGCAATCTGTACTATTTTATTGGATTTCACTTGAAAGTTACAATCCTAAAATAAGATGTAACATTGTTTAAGGACAACTTTGTGTTACCAGTTGCAATAGCCTGTCAAATAATTTCTCAGGGTAGTGAGGACATTGAACACGTAAGAAGATTATATTCGAATCCTGGCCTAGGCTATTGAGCATTGCCCCGTAGCAGGAGCTTTTAGGCCAAATACAGATGTCTACGTGAGCGCTCACAGACCATGGTAATTTAAGCTGATGATAAAATTACAACTGTTATCATTACTCTATATCTTTCCGAATAGATGTATTAAATGGTCAAATGATATATCAAATTGGATTTACTCCCAGAGGTCATATCTATGACATTTTAACTTGTTATTTAAGCACTATTAAATGAATGCTCTTTTCTGTTTTTTGGTGCCACAACTAAAGGGAATTTATTTGATTTTAAATCTAAACCTATGTTTATATACAACAAGCGACTGATGGTGAAGTTTTAAAATGGTGGGGCGCCAGACTTCTCCCTCACAATTTTACTCCTCACTCTACAGTACAGAAATACTCATACAATACAGAGAGCTGAGCGTAATATAGAGATGCTCAAACAACAAAACAGGCTTGGCACGGCATAAATATATCTATAAATATATGGTGCTGAGTGCAATACAGAGATAACCATACCAAAAACAGAGCTGAGAAGAATATAGATATAATACACTCAGCTGGGCACAACACAAAGATATCTATACAATACCCAGAGCTTGGTAGACTACAGAGATACCCATACAACTGGTAGAGCTGAGTAAAATACAAAGAAATAACATACAGAGCTGGGCACAATAAAGAGATACTCATAACTATACCGCACAGACAGGATCAATGTGGTGGATTACACAGAGCTGCAATACAGAGATACCCACACAGTACATGTCTCTGTAATGGTTAAAGGGACACTATAGTCACCTGAACAACTTTAGCTTAATGAAGCAGTTTTGGTGTATAGAACATGCCCCTGCAGCCTCACTGCCCAATCCTCTGCCATTTAGGAGTTAAATCCCTTTGTTTATGAACCCCAGTCACACCTCCCTGCATGTGACTTGCACAGCCTTCCATAAACACTTCCTGTAAAGAGAGCCCTATTTAGGCTTTCTTTATTGCAAGTTCTGTTTAATTAAGATTTTCTTATCCCCTGCTATGTTAATAGCTTGCTAGACCCTGCAAGAGCCTCCTGTATGTGATTAAAGTTCAATTTAGAGATTGAGATACAATTATTTAAGGTAAATTACATCTGTTTGAAAGTGAAACCAGTTTTTTTTTCATGCAGGCTCTGTCAATCATAGCCAGGGGAGGTGTGGCTAGGGCTGCATAAACAGAAACAAAGTGATTTAACTCCTAAATGACAGTGAATTGAGCAGTGAAATTGCAGGGGAATGATCTATTCACTAAAACTGCTTTATTTAGCTAAAGTAATTTAGGTGACTATAGTGTCCCTTTAAAGCATCAAGATACTCATAAACTCCAAACTATTTCAGCTACTCCTGACTCCCTATTAGCTCTCAGCACACAGTGTACATAGGATTAAAGTAGTAGGATACTGATAGACCCTTTATTGCCTTTGCAGCTAGCAATATAATTAATCTGCCGTGGTGATATAAAGGCAATAAGAAGGTAACATGGATAACAGAATCAACAATCATTAGAGATTAAAACAGATTAAAATGAGAATCAGATCAGTCTTCAGAGTCACAGCCCCAGTCCTAAAATTTGAACACAACTTTTCGAGTAGTCATAGCATAAGTGTCTCAGGTCTCAGCTGTAGCGTGACTAAGCACTTTAAAAAAGATGGTGGGTATGTGCAGTAGGAATTATTAAAACTATCAGTGACAGGCAGCACAATGCTCTCTGGGATTCCCTGGCTTTACATTAGACATAGGAATTTATTTTCAGATGAGCACGTTATCATCCGAATTTTGGCTATTCATCTGATGTCCAAAAGACGAATAAACGAATATGAATTAAAATGAATGAAACTAAGTCCAAATTGCTTGCTGGATGAAATTTTGTTCTGCAATTCGTTTTCATTTTAGTTTATTACAAGGAGCGAACTATGATAACCATTTTGATAAATCTAGATAAATCTAGATCAAAAATAAAAATGCTATAATTGACTACTTTTCCAGCTTAAATATTATGCTTTACATTTTTGGTTTGATTAATGAATTACCCCAATATCCTTTCACACAAATGGAATTAAGATGCTCTAGTTAAGTAGGCAAAGTCACAACATTTGGGGGTGAGGTGTATGGAGCAAACACCTTCCCCCTAAAAGGTTGTATTTAATTTTATATATTTTTTTTATGAACTTTTCTCATTGCTGCACATGCTAGAGATCTCATTAAATTGGCACAAATGGCTTCTTGCTTAGGCAACCCGAAAACCAATTCATGGGAGAAATCTACTTTTCTGCTCAACAAATAAAAGGGCATATAACTGAATAAAACCTAAAATCAGCTAAAACGATTCATTTCAATCAAAAAGTAAATGCCATGATTTTGTCGTTAATGTCGCTACAAATAGGTCATCTAGTGATACAGTCTTGGCGACTTCTACGTTACATTTATATCTGAAGGCAATTAGAGGATTAACCCTTTCCCCTACAGCGTGCGTCAGGCCATGCGACAGATACAGAGCAGTGACGGTACATGCTTCTCTGGTGGTTAGCAAAAATAAACAAAGTGATTACATTTTATTCCTTCATTAGAGACTCACTCTGGTATTTTCTGTAAACAAATTGATCAATGCTACTGAGCCCTGAAGCCAATAACATGTAATTTAATTGCTATCTCTGAGCAATCCAGACTAATCTGATGAAAACTGCCTTTCTTGTTTCTTCTTTATATTTCTCTAAATATATTTCCCCCGTTGTCTCCTAATTAGGTTTTATAGACTCTTTTGGGGGTAAGACACGGCAGAAGGTGTTATCCACTTCATTAGAATTTCAAAGAATTTGAAGCCAAACGGAAGATCTGAAAATCTCAAAGAATGTGTTATGAAAAAAATCAGATCATCGTTCTCATCTGTTGACAGTAAAACAATGAAAACCTTTTATAATGTTAAATTTTTAGTGTTTTCCTTAGGAGGGTCGGAAAGGTTATACTAAAATGTTGCTTCATGGGATGTTAGCACAATGAATTGCATTTGCCAGATAGACTAAACCGACAGCTACCAAGCAAATCAGAAATACCAATTCGTAGGCTACTTAACTCTGGTCTACAGGACTTTTGTTCGAGGTCAAAGAAGGTGTTTGCTTTTAACTATATTGTCTACACCAGCGTTTTCCAATTGGTGTTCCGCGGCATTTCACCACATCCAAGATGGCCACCGCTACCTAAAGGCCGGAAACAGCAGAGATCGCAGGAGCGCAATCTTAAGCCCGCTCTGCTGTCAGCACGCCTTGCTGTCAGCACGCCTTGCCATCAGAGACCGCCCTAGTGCCCTCCCTGCCATCAGCCAGCCACTTATCTTGTCTGTGAGAGAGCCTGCCCAGCCATCAGCCAGCCCACCCAGCCATCAGCCAGCCCGCCCAGCAGTCAGCCATTTTCTATCACTCTTGGTAGAGGAGTGATAGAGAGTGGACTTGATAGTTAAAGCTCTGTTATTGTCATAGAAAGCTCTGTTAGGTAGGGACATAGAACGTTCTGTTAGGTATGAAAATAGAAAGCTCTGTTAAGTAGGGACATTGAAATTCTCTGTTAGGATTGAAAGGCTCTGTCAGGGGCATTGAAAGACTCTGTCAGGGACATTGAAGGACTCTGTCAGGGGCATTGAAATTCTCTGTTGGGGCATTAAAAGGTTCTGTAAGGGACATTAAAAGGCTCTGTCAGGGTCATTGAAAGACTCTGTCAGGGGCATTGAAATTCTCTGTTAGGAACATTAAAAGACACTGTCAGGGACATTAAAAGGCTCTGTGAGGGGCAAAAAAACTGTTTGCCAGCACGTGCTGATGTGAAACTAGATTCTTGCTTTACTCTGCAAAAAAACCAAAGTATCGAAATCGACTTGACGCAACTGCAGACATGTGAATACAATTGTCAACAATTAAACCAGATATAAAAAGAATTTGCCAGCAAAAGAGAACATTACACTCTGCTCATTGAAAGGTTTGCGCTATTCTACGGCACACATTTTTTGGGGGGTTCCAAAGTTTTGCCATACCATGTCGAAGGGTTCCAAAGGAAAAATGAATTGGGAAACCCTGGTCTACACCAAGCCGGTGAAAGTCTAGGTAGAATCAAAAATAGATAGGATATTGAATGAAGTGTTTTGTTCTTAAAAATTTTCTAAAGTCCTAAAAGGGCAATCACCATGGAAACCCATGGAACCAGCAGGTTTATGCCTTTAATATTTCTGCATTATTTTTTTTTACAGAACATTTTAATAAATCTCTTCTTTTGTCTCTCTTTCTTCGAGCCTGGAAAGAGAGCACTTTGTGCCACAAAGAGGGGAGATTTACCAATGGGTACTGAAGTGTTTTCTTTATTTTTGGTATCTGATCTGTTTGTATTTATTGAATTTTTCTAAAAGTGATGTAAAATGTGTCCGCTTATCTCTGCATAAATTCCATAATTTTTCACAGAATTATCCATTCAGGAAAGACTTTCAAATTTAGGGTCGTGTAAAAAATAGAAGTAAAACAGAACATTAAATATCAAACATTGAATCAATGATGTCACTGGAAATTACACTAAAAAAATTATGGTTGAGGTACAAAGGAAATAACAGAAGAAAGAAAAAAAAAATGTGTTAAAAAGAAGCCCAAAAAAAGGGCCAAACGGTTTGCAACACTTTGATGAATCTGTCCCAGAGTGTCTGGCTCTTCTGGTTACCAAAATGTAACTGCAAATGATCTCTTTCATACTTTTCCTATTTAGTGAAAGAATGAGGAATGATTTTAAATCATTTTTCATTCCCTGCAATTTTTCCTCTCCTCGAATCTCCGCAGTTTCTTTGTTTTTCTGATAATGCGACTAGTGCTAAATGTGAGATAGTATACAATCGGACACAGAGTTGACACAAGGTTGCAGGAGATGCTCCGTTTCATACACAACCAGGCTGATAGCAGTTTGGTTGTTTCAGGTTTGGGTGGGGGGGGAGGGCAGGGGGGGTGGGATGGGCGCAATGGCCCCTATACAAGGTCTTCAGATTCCATTGGGCTTTGTCCTGTACATCTTTGGTGATTTGCGAATGTATACTAAACACCCTCCCAGCAATCGCTGACTGTATCCTTAAACATTTACAAAGAAAATTAGTAATTAAGAATGGGAAATAAAAGATTTGTGCTTACAAGGTCAAAAACTTAGCCTTTAGTGAAGGGCTAGCAAACTATGACTCCCAACTGTCCCAATTTCAGCAGACTAGTCCTGATTTGTGGGACCTATCTCACCGTCCTGAGCTATTTCCCTGGTGTCCTGCTTTTGGGGACGCCAGGGAACTGTCCCCAACAAGCATTGCGCAAGCACATTATTAGATGAATAGCGCTATGTTCAGGGCACTAGGACCCAGTAAAACATTGCTCTCTGCATAGTCTGCCATAAGTCATCTGGCCTTAAAAAACAGGCAGACGGCCTAATGTATATTCTTGCTAGGCTGGGTTACCAGCAATGAGGACTTGTCCTTTTCTGGATGGGTTGCAGGAGATGGGTTGCAGGAGACACAATCACTTTACCCACTGGCGTCCAGATTTTCTAAACACTGGAGTTGGGAGGTATGTTAAAGGCTCTGTATAATTTCTGCCTGCCACTTCATTCTTCCAGAACAGAGCAAACAGACCTCCCAACACACCTTCTGCTTTTTCAATTTTCCAAAGAATAGTTAATGCTGCAACCTACAACTTACTTTCCAGTCCTCCCATGTTGTTGACCTGGGGGCAAATACCCTTCTGCCCCCCATGTTAGCCCTCCCATGACTATAACTCCTGACATGCTCAGCTACAGCTCGTTTTGTGGCTCTTGAATAATGTCTGGGTTTTTACGACCACAAGGTAACTTTTTCAAGTCATACTTTTTTTTTTTTTTTTTTTTTAAAGTAAATACGTAATTTAAAATCTAGTGATGTTCTGTGATTTGGTTTTTTATTATTTATATATTTAATGTTGGTAGACAGCAGGAAGGGAGGGATTAAGACTCAGAGAGCCATAAATCCCAAATTCCTATTGTTGATGATTGCTTGCTGCTCCCCCAGCAGTTAAAAGGAGATTTATAAGATTTATTATTAATGATATCATTACCATTCCTCACTCATCACCTGTTTTCTCAC